TACAGCACTTCTAGAAGCAGAGCAAGCTGAAAGTCTCGCAGAACATTGTTTCATATAAAATAAAAACTATACAGTAAGTCTAACTGGAATGTAAAGCATGACAGTAAGCATGTTACTCCAATACTAAGAGTTAGTTATCCCTAACAATCAGTCTAACAACACCTGATGTCTCTGAAGAAATGTACCACTATAATCAATTCTACTCATTTTAGGAAATTACAGTAACACATTATTAAGCCTCTGAAAACTAAGGCCTAGGTTCAGAAAGGAGCTAATGCCAAATCAATATAATCTTAAAAATTAACATGTGATAGTGCAGGAAAGATTTACTAATTAAAGCCATTGTTTACCCACACAAAACTAAAAGTAAGAGGCACAGCTAACTCTATAGCATACATGCTATAGAGTGGTCAGCATATGTGAATGGCTGCAGATAACTGGATAATTGGGGAAGTAATTTTAAACATAATCACACTACTGAAAATGAATAGCAAGTATTAACACAGAAGCTTTTGATTAAGATAAATATTGCCTCTATATAACATTAATTTCTCAGTATTTTAAATCTAAAATTGCCTAATTGGAAATTGCTGCAGTGTTTTGATAGGTATTCTCATGAATACTTCATGAAACTTCAAACTGATCAATTCCACAGGCCAGAGTCCCAATCAACCACATCCCCTTCATTAATACACCCTGGGAAAATAGTCTTGAAAATGTTATATGTTCACTAAAAGAAAATGAGCTGAAACTAAATTCTGAAATGCAGAGGGTCTCTTCTTTAGTAGCTGTTACCATCATCTTCCTAAGTGTTAGGAAGTTAACCAAGTTAGGGGTTAACTTGGACGTATTCTTAGTAAAATTTCCAGAAATATTTGCATTTTTTAAAAAGCTAGTTCTTACTTTTCACACTAATAAAGCACCATTTATCACAGGGCAACTAAGAGATATGTATACCAATATCACTATGTATATGTAATGCACAGATTCTAATCATTGTATCACCCCAAAATATTCACAATACTGCAAAATGGATACACAAGTCCCTGTTTTAAAGACAAGAAAATGTGAAACTTCAAGAAAAATAGGTAACTTGTTTAAGGTCAGATTGTGACGGGATTTTAAGCGTGACCCAGCAATGCCTAGTTCTTCACTGTTTTATCATCTATCTTTACATACTTATTTTTTAATAAGAGATAAAACAGAACTATTATTTAAGTAATTTAAAACTACCACCATCTTAAAATTAACATGAAATATCAAAATTACATTTTCCCAACTCCTAAATATGTGAAAAAAGGAAGCCTTTAGAATATATATTTCATAATTCATTTTTCTTTTATTTATTTTTATTCTCCAGTGTTCCATGTTTAGTAAAAAGATCTCGTTTTAAATTCTAGTATCTGTGAAAGAATGAAAATAGATCCAAACCTAGTACTGTATTCCTTCTACATTCTTCCCACATGGCAGAGGGTTTTTCTGAGTGATGTCTTGTTCATCCAGCCTTCAATGTTCAGCCACAATTAACCTGCTTTTCTCACTGCATACTGCTAGCTAATTTCCTCTGCATTTACCATGTATTCTATCAAGGTAGACTTTATTATATACTAGCAAATATGGGATCCTGATCTGTAATTAGATAAACATTCCATTTTCAAAAGCTTGTTGAATATTTCTTGTCAGGTTAAATAAACATGTTTCAAGAAAACCCAGCCACTATTTATTTATTTTAATGGTCATTAGTTTCTCCTAAGTTTTCAACAGAAAACAGGCTCTATAACTGCTAGAGTTAGTAGGCAGCATCTATATACTATGTTAACAGTGACCTAGTCAAGGAAAATTAATTTTCTAAATCATGATACTTTTTAAACAATATAAAAGTATACAACCAAGTTGTATGGCAGTTTTCAGATGTTGCTCAAAGTAACCCCACATGAAAGAAATGTAGCGGTGTTACAGGGTGAATCAACTTCTAAAGCTAGTGTGCTGGATCAAGCCCTGCTGCAGGCTGGCTAAACAGCAAATTGGGAAAGAGGTGAGCACTGAGCCATCTGCAGCTCTGAGTATAAAGCATCTGGGTATGCTACTTTACAAATAAACTGGAAACTACAGCAGAATCTTGAAACTATTTCATTAAAAAGTTGAAATCAAGAGCTCATTGGTAATCTTTGAATTTACTTACCACTTGAATTCAAACAGCAAAAAAATTTCTCTTGTATCATTTAAAAATATTGGTGCTGTATCATACACCAAATGGTAACAGATTCTTTATCATATAGTTTATTTTATAATTTATGGTAGTCTTACTGTTGGTCCTAGAGATGTCACCAAAGTCCAAGGGAATAAACCTATCTAACATAAAATTAATAGAACACCTACAACATGGAAAAAATCAACTCATACATAGTACCTATATGCACAAAGGACTACCATGCATTATTGTTTAGAGTTAGAGAAAACTGAAGTTCCTTCCCTGACACAGGCTACAAGAAGCTGCACAGAGTCAACCTTATCACACTAACTTAAAAGTCTGTACAATGACCTCTGGTGCTCACTTTCCATTCCTGAGTTACTCTGGTTGAAAAGGACCTATAAAATTTAATATCCAAGAACAAATAAAAAGATTCAGTGCCACCTAATTTTATACAGTTGGATTTCTATGTTTCTTCTTACCAGCAATAAAGACAGTAACAGTAGTGGTGCCTATCTAGGATTCAGTCCAAATAGTTATTACTTTAATACCTGGATATTATTCGATAAATTATAATATACTCAGTTCACCCTAAATGAAAACTGAGCTTACTGGAAATGAATTAAGATGACAAAGAATCCATACTTATCTCAAAAACATAGTTAATACTGGAACTTATAAACGTGAAAAGGTTTTCAAACATACAGAATTCCAACTTTAGTTATTTACATAGACACTGTCATTTTAACTCTTGATCTAATCACTCTTTTACTAAATATTATGACAGTTTTGATAAATCACATACTGGGAAAGTACAATGCTATTCTTCATTTTTATAAATTTATATTCTTAAGTTTCATAATTTAACTAAAATATCTCATCACAGATTCACTAGCAGTTAGCTTAATTTATAGTGTCACAGGGTTTTGACAGTTAAAGACCAGTAAGTTACAACCAAACTTAGATGCCATATAGATGGGCTATATACTGACAAAGACCTGGTCACTTCAGGTATACAAATGTATGAATTTGAGTATTAACAGGCAGCAAGGATCATAATAATGTAAAAGCATATTTTTAAAATATAAGAATATTTTATGATTTAAAAAAACTAGGTAGGAATTCCTAAGACTTCATAAAGTTTACAATATCTTAAAAAAATTATACAACACTGTCAAGTCTTATACTATAAACATAGTTTTAACTGTTATATTCATTTTTAATATGAATTACAACAAACTAGAACTAATGGAAATTCAAATTTACACAATATTTGAATGCAAGTTTTGAAGCTAAAACTGCTATTAAGAATTATGTTTCAGAGACAAGCCCTAATTATTGCTTGCAAATTACTGTGGTGAGAGCTTCAAACATTTTAATTCTCTATTTCTAGAATAATAATTATATTTAAATTATGTTACTGTAAAAGCACCTAAACATCCAAAAATTATACTGTACTTTAGGTCATAAAGCGGGTAAGCAATAAAAATTTTCAACTCAGTCATTTCTATTAAGTAACAGCTTACTTAGTAAAAGAAAGGGCAAATAAATTGAAATACATGGGGATACAGTATACAAGCATTCAAAGTTATCTTAAATTGCCTAGTATATCAGTTGTTATTACTATTGTTTTGAGGGACAGTTTCTGCCTTTGAAATGCTATATTACATCTCATAAGATCAAGTTTTAAAGAAGACCTCAATTTTTATAAATCCTAATAATGTGGTATCAGAAAACACTCAATTTCAAATTTGTAGCACAAAGAATCTGTGTTTTAACAATCACATTTAGTTTGTTTCAGCTGCTGAATAGATGTAATGTAATCCACACCACTATCAAACTCTAGGTCTGAGATAACAAGCTAATATTTATTTCTAAGTGCTTTAAAAATTATTCATAAAACCTGCATAAAAAGGATTCCGTGAGTGTATTGTGATTTTACTTTAACAATTATTCTGCACTACAATGGAAGTACATGCTCAAACAAGACACCTCAGCAGTATTTTAAAGCAGTAACCACCTAGCCAATTTCTGTATGTTCTGTAGTTTTTCTAATCCACTCTCCCTGTGGTTGAGCAAAATCGAATTGCCTCTCACATTTGCAGACAGCTCTGTGAAGGTGATAATAGAGCTGCACCCTGCTGTCATGAGGCAGGAAATAGGAAAATGGCATATGGGGCTAGAAAGAAAGAAATAAAAAAAGGGAAAGAAAGAACGAGAGAACGAACAAAAAAGAGAGAACTAAACAAGAACAAAAGAGATTTCAACAAAGAACAATACAACCCAATGTGCTCTGCAAGTTAACCTCTTTTCAGAATCAGTCAGCATATTTAATCATTCATCTGGGTCCTCACTCCACATATATGAAGGTTTGATTACCAAGTCTTTGGGATAGTTTTCATTGTCTAAAGTATTTGGAATATACAACTCCAGAATACACCCTTGATAATGTCTGAAAAACAAAGCCCTTTAAGATTTAACATTTTTAAGATGTGCTGGTATTTATTAAAATATTAGTAGACTATATAAAGCAGGCTTTTAGTATGGTTTAACATTCAAATTTATGAAATTTTTAAAATTAAGGATAAACATTCATTCACGATAATAGGAAACTAAAAATAAAATCCCTACATAATTTTTTAAATTGCTAATACCATGACATGCATTTATGGACTTGCAAAATTTCAATGAAAAGCATTTGTGTATGTGTGTGTGTTTAGTTAAGAACACTTTCAAACATAAGGGATTTTTATTACATGTTCACGTATGAAGTGGTAGAAGATGACAGTAAAGTTAGAGCTGACTCTACCTTTCCTTTTACACTCTGAATGGGGTCCACAACCACTGCCACAGCTCTCTCCGACAAGGCTTCAAAGCTCTGCTGAGTGTTGATATCCACACCAGAAAGCCAACAGCCAAAGCCAGGGTGACTGTGATACCAACCAACAACCATCTCGGGCCTGAAACAAAGGGCACTCAGACTCAGAACACAGCAACGCATGATGAGAGGAGAGAAACAACACACTAACAGGGTAGAAATTAAGAAAAGATGAAAAACACACAGGTGTGAAAAAGCACCATTAGAAACTCTGAAATCGGACACCATATTATCCAGAAAACATGGAAATGAATAAGTGTGACAAAGGAGTGCTATCATTAAGAGATGCACATTAGCAGTGGTAGATAAGGCTTTCAGTTTTTCACCTTGTTACCACACTTTCTCAGAGCCAGTTTTTACCCTTTCAGCATTCAAGTAAATATCTACTCTTTAACTCTTTAGCTCTGGGAGCTGGATTTTCCAGGCACAGAGTACATTTTTTTAACAATGGACACCAGGATCCACTGTTGTGAAAGGATTAAATATCAATTAAACCAGCAGTAGAACTAGGAACTCAGTCAAAAACCAATTTGCACTGCTCTGCTCAGCTGCTGAGCCTTTTGCTAACGTTAATTTTGAAGTTTTTTTCCACAGTAGAAGAATCTGAGCAAGAGAATGACAACTATTGGGAGACTCAGTTTGAGGGGAGGGGGGAAGCACTTAGATTATACTGTCTTTAAAACTCATGTCTACAAACATTTATTCAGACCGCATTCAGCTACAATTCTCAAATACACAGACCATACCAGGTCTTTCGGTTACAAGTGAAGAGAAGGTAATTCTAAATGCTAAACAGAGGGACATTACAGCCCAAGCCAAGCCTATTACATGAGAGCTGAGAATCTTAATACAAGGCAGTTTTCTGATTGGTAGACTTTTATTCAGGATGCCAAGAGGCACCACACAGACAAATCAACTACACTGATTTCTCCACTAGAAATGATGTTCATAAATATCATTAACTTTAAGGCACATTTGCAAATATTTATCATTCATAAAAAATGATAGTGTAAAACACCTACCTTCCTGTTTGTTTGAGCATATCCAACATTTTGGCTTGGAACACTGGATCAACGGCTTCTACACTGACACCCTATATTATAAACAAAACAAAACACTTTTTTTGGATAACATGAAAAATAGAAACATACTGTAAAAGAACAACAAAAACCTAACCCCAATTTTGTATTATTATTTTATAGGATTTGATAGCTACTCAAGTCACTGAATTCTAAGTCTTTTTTTTTTTTTTTTTTTTTTTTTAATGTGCATTGGTGTTTTGGCTGTATGTATGTCTGTGTGAGAATGTCAGATCTTGGCACTACAGACAGTTTCAAGTTGTCATGTGGGTGCTGGGAATTGAACCCGGGTCCTCTGGAAGAGCAGTCAATGTTCCCAACTGCTGAACCATCTCTTCAGCCCCCTGAACAAAATTTCTAAAACTGCCAAGTGCCAAATTGCTGTGAATTAATGACTGAGACCGCATTTAGAGTATGAGACAACAATAAAAGCTTATGGCTATTGCTTCATATTTATCAGTAGTACCAAATAACTCACAAACTAAGATTTTTCGGTTATGCCTACACATGGCACACACACCTAAATATCATTCTCTAACAGGGTAAGAACTACAACTGTTCAGTTATTGTAGAACAGTATTTTATTCAATAATGTAAATAATTTTAAGAAGATAATTATATATTGCTTCATAAAAAAGTAATCACAAAAACTCCCTATTGGACAGAGACCACATAATCAATTCTCTTAAACATTGCATTATTTTGCTAGTTTAGTCAAAAATATAATTTTAGCACACAGAGTAAAAAGGATGTTTTAATAATACGTTAATAAAATGTTAACAAAAAGAATGACCTGTTACAGGTCAGTGTCAATATAGCTATGAGGCTTTCCTCCAACACGAGGAATGAGTTTAATCTGGCTAAGGAAACCAGTTTAACATAAGCACACTTCCTCCCCACCAGAGCAAAGAGCACACTGAAGTCCAATAAAGAGGACATCATGGAAAAATCAAACCATGCACTTTGCTACTAGGCAAAAAAATATCTTTTGGGGGTTTTGTTTTCATTATTTTAAAGAGAAGGTGAAGAGAGAGAATAAAGAGGAGTAGAAGAGGGGTAGGATCCAGGGAGAAAGTAGAAGAGGGTGAATATGTGGACACATTCTTTACAGAAGATTCTGCTGTCTCGAGCCAAAAGAAAAACTTTTTGATTCTACTACACTGAGTAAGGAGCAAAATGTCCTATCTTACACTGTCAAGCAAGCATATACATGGAAGCATAATAATAATGCGTAAGAATAATTTATTATCCTGATTAGCTACATAAGGGCTACCTATAAAAGAAGTTAATTTTTATGTAATTTATTATATTCTGATAGAGAAAGAAGATATAACAGCACACCAAGATTTAAATCTAAATCTAAATTTGTGATTTAATAGTGTTTCTATAACCTTATAAACAGAAAGTAATGATAGCCAGAAAGACAAAACTATTCCAAATCTATTTACCAAAAACAAAACAATAAAACCCCATCTTATCTACAGAAGTATTGTAGATTTTCATAGTTTTACATTATCTGCAAAAATGTTGCATACTATAGCAACTACTCTATAGAAAACACTTTTTTCATAAATGTGTACATATACATGGCATCACTTAAATGTGTATAATTTGTTCCTTAATATGTACCTTATCACAGCAAGCTCATAGTAAGGAGCCTCAAACAAGGTGAGCAGCTTCACCTTAAAAGCCTCACCAGTCTTACCAATACTGCTACAGCAGAAGAAAAACCATCAGAGAAACACAAGAAACACACAAGTGAGACTGGTACGCATCATGTTTTGAAAAGTAGGTATGATTAATGCTGACAATTTTTGGTTTTGAGCCACATTTCAACTTGGGGCCAATATGGCTTCAAAATGAGGATTCAAGAGAAGGATGACCTTGAATTCCTCATCTCCTTCCTCCACCTCTCAAGTGCTGGGATTAAGAAATAAGGACTGCATTGGCTTTTATTACTTTTTTTTCACATTATCTTTAAATCCAGCAGGACTTGGTGGCACCCATGTTTAATCCCAGCACTCCAATGAAGAGGCAGGAAGATCTTTGTCAGTGCGAGGGGATCCTGTTCTACGCAGAGAATTTCAGGCCAGTAAGAGCTATAAGGCAAGATTCTTATCTCAAACAAACAAAACAAACACCCAAAAAACACCACATAAAAATACTCAAACAAAAAAGTCTAAATGCACTACTTCCTATAAAAACCGTATTGTTGTAAATAAAAGGCAAAGCAGCATTACCACTAAAAAGAAGACACTTTAAACAGGATAGTAGACTGCTTTCAAAATTTACATTTTACTACTTAACAACTGAAAGTCATTCACTACTACATATAGTTCATTTAAAACACTGACTTCAAAACAATAGAAAGCTACAGGAGGATTAACTTACATGTATTTAAATTTTATATAGTTCCTAAAAACTCTGATCAATATTCAGAGTAATTAGAGCAACTATTTTTTAAATCCAGCTTGTTTTGCTCTCTAAAGGAAAGAATAAGGAATTTAGTACTCTACCATCATTTGGTTTGTAAGAGTTCATGGTGCAGTTAAAAGACTAATGATTTAATTCAATACAGGATATTATTTGTATTATTACTCTAATGATTGCTGCCTCCTACTGTAAAGAAAAAAAAAAGATTAAAGTTATTTTGAATTAAAAAAAAAAAAAAAGAGACAAGAAGCAGCCAACGTAAGTACTACTCACAGTTCCTGACTGTGGCATAGCAAATACATCAATCACTCTGACGGTATAATCATCAACAAATTCACCAAGCATTAGACCCATAACTTCCATAGGAACTCCAGCACGGCCATGTTTTAACATCTGTAAAGAGGAAGATATGGGGACACAAAGCACATTTATTTGAAATCTTGACACCCACTCTGCCAAATAACCTATTTTGCTTCTGTGGAAATAAAAGCCCATTTTATACCTTTACCCTAAAATAATACTTATGTAATATTTATGTCTGGGCAAATTAAGGTAATAAATATACCAATGTAAAAGAGGGAATGTAAAGGAGGCTCTAAAGCAAGTAATTCCATTACTTACTTACCTTTAGCAATGCCAAGGAAGAGATATAAACTTGTTCTGCTGTGTCCACGGCTGGAGCATCTGTAGGTGGACCCTAGAAACAAGTCCATCAATTACTATAATACACAGAATAGGAGTTAGAGTTAAGGTTACGTGTGAAATAAACTTGATTATCCAATTACAATGCAAATAAACAACCATGAAAACATGAAGGCAACAGTTAAAAACCCAGTATCCTAACAACTTTTCAATGGACATAAAGTTTACTTCCACAGTGCTCATCTACCTTGGTTACAAAATAATGACTGTAACATCTGTTTCCACTATATTACAATATAATATAATCTGAATGACAAATCCTGTTTGACTAGCTTGATAAACCAAAGGATCAACAAAAACAGCAAACTCTCTGAGCTTCTTCAGCTTTAGCTACAGACAGCAGATTAGGGATATGGGAACACTTTGCAGATTCATAGATACAGTGGGAGGGAAGATGGAAGAAGACTGAAATCCCTAGGTGAAAAAGCTGTGAACAACATACTCTCTGCACTTGCCTAATGAAGTTGCTCCTTCCCCACACACGACAAAGTTAGCACAACCACCTCAGCTGTGAAGAAACTAGATAAGGTAGGTAGCTGCCATGAAAATACTTCCAATAACTTAACTGACCACTGCCTTTACTGCTATGATGGGCTAATGAACTAAGTTTCTCCCCAAAAGATCCTATTTATTTGCAAAAAAAAAAACAAAAAAACCAAATCTCTATTGGTTGTCACAGTGGGTGCATAGAGCAACTTGTGATCTTTACGCTCAAGGTACCATCACCCAGCAGCCAGTGAATATAATTCGAAGCCAAGCAGTACAAATCACTTAATTTTTTCTTTCTTTTTTTTTCTTTGATACTGGGCAGTCTAGAACATAGTTTCTTTTTATTTCTTAATTATTTTTATTTATTCTTCTCTCATATATTACATACCAACTGCAGTTTTCCCTCCTTCTTCTCCTCTCAGTCCCTCCCCTAACCTAGGTCCACTCCACCTCTGTTTCCCTTCAGAAAAGAACAGGCCACCCAGGGATATCAACCAAACATGGCATGTCAAATTGCATTAAGATTAGGCACAAACCCCCATAACAAGGCTGGACAAAGCAGCCCAGTAGGAGAAAAAGGATCCCAACTGTAGGCAATGGAGTCAAAAACAGCCCTGCTCCCATTGTCAGGAGTCCCACAAGAACACCGAGCTATACAACCATAACATATATATAGATGACCTAGGTAATCAGATCCATACAGTCCCCTGGCTGTCACTTCAGTCTCTGTGAGCCCCTAGGAGCTTAGTTGAGTCTGGGGGTCGTGTTCTTGCAGTGTCCTTCTCCCCTCTGTTTCCTACAATCCTAAACCTCTTCCTCAGGATTCCCAAGCTTTGTCTAATATCTGACTCTCTATACCATGTTAAATATGTTACCCATTCACATTCTCTTGTTTTTATGTGTTTACTTGTTGAAAATAAGGAACTGCTTTACTCATGGTCCATCAACAATCTGCATATATTTCTGTTTATACACTAAACTTGTCACCTTTGAGGGCATTAAAAAGTCTCACAATATTCACTGGAAGCATTAAGCATACCCAGTTCCCAAGTGCAAATTCTCCACTTACTGAATGCAGTTTCACTGTTTCTTTTAAATAGACTCTCAAAATGAAAATGTAGTGGAAAGCTCAAGTACTTTTTGTTGAAGTAACAGAAGTTTTGATAATCTAATTTGTTCATCTAGCAAAGAAACTTATGGAAGTGAGGCTGGAGAGATGGCTCGGCAGTTAGGAGCACTGGCTGCTCTTCCAGAGGCCCACATTCACACACAGTGGCCCACACCTGTTGGTAGCCCCACTTCCGGCCCCCGAAGGCATCGCACATACATGGTGTGCACGCATGCACGCAGGCAAAACCGCCCCATACATAAAATAAAACTAAAGAAATCTGTAATAAACATTTTAAAGAAAGGTTAAGAAAAAATTAAAGACTGTGTCAAGGGAGATGTGAGGATACATGTGTAGTTATACTTTATCCATATTCAAATTATTTCTTGGACATCGAACAACTTTAAAAAGTGTATGCGTCATCTGTAGATATTAAAATAGAGCCTTTTAAAATTTGCCAGAAAATAAGTACTAAAAAAAAGAAAAAGAGACCACATTTTTACCAAAACATATCGCTGCCAGAATCCAGAAACTCTTTCAGTCATCAATGAAAGAAAACTCTGCCTTTGTTGGGCATTGTATACAATCAGTACTTAGCAAAGTATCTGGCACACAGCAAGAACTCAGTAATACTGCTTTAAAAAAAAAAAGAATCAATAAAGATGGTACTGAAAGCTAATAGAACTGAGAAGAAAATCTTCCAACAGTTATTTGTGAGAGGAGGCAAGCACATGCACATAAAGAGAGATTTAGCTTCTCTTACAATCTATTCTCTTAGGGCCTAGAATTATTCTACAGAAATCCCTGTGTTAGGAAAAACTATGTCCCTCACTCTCTTTTGGTATAAGCACTGTCTGTAGTTTTGCTCTCTCCTCTCTCTGCCTCTCCCCAACTCTGCCTGCCCTCCTTTTCCCTCTTCTCTCCCTTCTTTCAAGGTCATGCTAATCGATCCAGGTAGGTTTCAAAGCCATCACCCTCCTGACTGTTCAAGAGTGGCCTCCCTATTTTATCTCTGGATCCTGTTAGTCAGAGACTGAAATTCCTGTGGGCTGTGGGAGCACTGGAAGGAAGTAAAGAGGGGCTGGTAGCAGTTATATGTACAGAGAGACAGGAAAAAGGAGAGGGAGAAGAAACATCTTCTCTCTGTAGGTTACAGTATATTTACACACTCACCTGTTCTGAAGGAAACTCAATGACACATTAAAGAGGAGACCTCACTTAAGACCCTGGAAACTGAATTCAGCGAGAAATGTAAAAACTTAAACAGTTTAACAACAAAGATGACTTGTTTAACCCTCAAGAGGGGAAAAATGTGGAATTATAGACAATCTACAACTAGTGTCTTTTGGAAAATAGTTCTGTGGTCCAGCATACTGATTCACAACTCAAAAGTCATTCAACTATTACTATAACAAACAACATTTAAGAAAATCTCTCTGTAAGTAGATTTTCTTTGTAATATAGCACTGGAGGAGAGACAAGATGTAAAAAGAATTAAAGTTACACAATAAAAAGCAAAATAACATTATCGTAGGTTCAATACAGTGACACAGAATACAATAGTCTATGTATTCTTCAATTACAAATGGAGAGGGCTCATTGGTGACTGTTCCAGAAATACAGATCTGGAAGATGTTTAAGGTAACTGCTTAAAAATTAAAGTACACTCTGTACCTTACCAAGTCCCTGGGAGAAGGGAGGGGTGGAGTAAACAAGGCTGACTGGAGAGCCACGGAAGAATACAGGACAGAGGTGCACTCCAGCTTTGCTGAAGGCTGCTGTGGGAGGCTGCGGGTCCCAGGACCACGGCTCCGCATAGGAACACCTGTACTTCCGTTCTTAGAAACAGAACAGGGGAGCTAGAGAGATGGCTCAGCGGATAACAGCACTGGCTGCTCTTCCTAGAGGTCCTGAGTTCAATTCCCAGCAACCACATGGTGGCTCACAACCATCTATAACGGGATCTGATGCCGTCTTTTGGCATGCAGGCATCCGTGGAAATAATGCAATTATATATACATAAGTAAATAAATATTAAGAAAAAAAAAGAAACAGAATAGGATTGTTAAGTGTACTGCAAGAGTCAGTACACTGGACAGGAAAAATGTTTCTCCTATGGCCACCCTAACAAAACAAAACAAAAAACCCCACACACAAACACACAAAACAAAAGAAAAAATTTTAAATACTAAACGATATAAGGTAAGATGAAATTAACTTTACGAACAAATAAATAACTGTTGGAGGCACATGTACCTCCAAATGGATTAAGTAGAAATTCATGTATATGTTGCTTAAAAGTAATAAAGCAAACACTAAGAAAGTTAGTCAACAAAAACTTGACTTAGCTGAATGCTTAGGACCTTTCAGAACATCTGCAGTCTAAACTAGTTAAGCACCCATAGTCTAAAATTCCAAACTGCTAATAACCTGAATTTTTTTTTTTTTTTAATGCTTTCCGATTTGACTTCAAAACCTTTTGAAGATTGGGTCTGGGATGCACAGATAGGCCTAACTATCTCTGTAAAAGCTGCAGTGTCTGCTACGGGTCACCTGGCTTGTGCTCCTTTACTGCAACAGAGTAACACTGCACAATATTCTGAAATCAATTGAATAGTATGTGTTTACAGTTTGTTTTTCAGATCAAAAGTGACATTAATCCAGTCCTCTTTTCTGTTAAATTCATTAGGTTTTGCTAACATTATGAAGAATTTATAAAATAATCCAATTTTATCCTGTTTTATGTATACATTAAAACTTCCTGGCATTTAAAATTGCAAGAGTTGACTATTAAAACATTTGACTGCAAAGTAACTTTGGAGGTGACTGATGCAAGTTTTCAATCAGTTATTTATAAGTCAGGGTTTCTCTGCCTTGAACCTAGCCACACTTGTATATGTTGCAGACATCACTTCATTAGCTTCCCAAACTGTCACTATAGAACTGAACATATTCTCTCTTCTTTGTTTCTTCTTACCACGCTTAAAATAAGAGCACGTAAAACTATAATTGCTTCTCTATAGCATGCTATTAGTGTTAACCAAATGGATTAAAGAATTACATTAAAAAATAAAATCAAAGCATGGCAAAAACTTCTCTAATAATGAATGTGTATGTGATCAGGGTGCAGTAATACATATGACAGGTACAAAATGGACCAATAAAAGAATATACAATAAAAACATAATATAAAATTTATGAATATTAAGGAGTTAAAAAGCAAAATACTCTGAAAAATTAGTTGCCTCATTTATGTCAAAAAAGTCATTACACAAATAAATTTTAAAAATTACTAAGCCCTTAACAGAAACACAGGCAAAGAATATAGAAGCTAATTATATAAGAAATACAAAATGATATAAACATGAAAAGTGTTTAACCTCCCTAGCTGACCTTCT